TTCTTATCATTACAATCTCAAGATAACATCATTTGACTTAATATTGATCTAAACATATTAAGTTTTGTTTCACATCCCAATTCTTTTCCAGAAGTGTTGGCCTTTTTTATTGCAGTCACACACTGTCTCGACATTTTCAGTGAGTTATCTACTAGGACTCCAAGATAAGCCATATGTCCTGTGATTTTGAATGGTCATTTACATGAGGAAAGTGCCCATATTTTACATAGCATTTACACCACGATTTCCACCTGAGGTAACTTGCTGGGGCCAAGACCATTGGGAAAACATGCCAAGTAGCCTCTCCCTCACCAAGTTAGATTTTATCAGGCTTTTAGAATAACAGAATCATAGAGTTGGAAGGGGCCTCCAGGGTCACCTAGTCCAACCCCCCACACAATGCAGAAGGGACCTCCAGGGTCTAATCTAACCCCCTGCACAAGGCAGGAAATTCACAAATGCCTCCCCCTCCACACCCCCAGTGACCACTGTTCCACACCCAGAAGATAAAAAACCTCCAGGATCTCCAGCCAACGTGGCCTGGAGAAAAATTGCTTCCTGACCCCAAAGTGGCAATCAGCATTTCCCCGGGCGTGTAAGAAAGGGCTTCAAGAACTAAGCACTGATGCAACCCTGCCTGCCCTCCCTCTTATGGATCTAAGTTCACAGAATCAGCATTGCTGTCAGACAGCCATCTAGCCTTTGTTTGAAAACCTCCAAAGGAGGAGAGCCCACCATCTCCTGAAGAAGCCTGACCCATTGAGGAACTGCTCTGTCAGGAAGTTCTTCCTAAAGTTTAGCCCATAATTCTTCCAATTTAATTTCAACCCTGTACCATCCTCTATATGACAGCCCTTCAAGTACTTGAAGATGGTTATCATATGACCTCTCAGTTGTCTCCTCTCCAGGCTAAACATACCAGGCTCCTTCAACCTCTCCTCATAAGACTTGGACTCCAGACCCCTCATCATCTTCGTTGCGCTCCTCTGGACACATTTCAGCTTGTCTATATCCTTCTTTTTAATTGTGGTGCCCAAAACAAAACACAATACTCTAGATGAGGTCTAACCAGAGCAGAGTAAAGTGACAGCATTACTTTGCATTATCTGGACAGTATACTTCTGTTGATACAGCTCAAAATGGCACTTGCCTTTTAGCTACCACATGACACTGCTGACTTGTGTTCAGTGTATGGTCTACTAAGACCCATGGATCCTTTTCACACATACTACTGCCAAGACAAGTCTCCCCCCACCTATAATTATGCATTTGAGTTTTCCTACCTAAATGCAGAACTTTACATTTATCCCCATTGAAATTCATTTTATTTGGTTTAGACCAGTTTTCCAGCCTGTCAAGATCATCCTGTATCCTGACTCTGTCTTCTACCATATTTGCTACCCCTCCCAATTTAGTATCATCTGAAAATTTAATAAGCATTCCCTCTATTCC